TCATGGATTGCATGACTAGTCTAAGCCAATTGGGTCGCCCCATTACTCCCATTCATGGATTGCATGACTAGCCTAAGCCAATGGGCTCTCCCCATTACTTCCATTCATCGATTGCATGACTAGCCTAAGCCAATGGGGGTCTCCTTATTACTTCCATTCATGGATTGCATGACTAGCCTAAGCCAATGGGCTCTCCCCATCACTTCCATTCATGGATTGCATGACTAGCCTAAGCCAATAGGGTCTCATTACTTCCATTCATCCATTGCATGACTAGCCTAAGCCAATGGGGTCGCCCCATTACTTCCATTCATGGATTGCATGACTAGCCTAAGCCAATGGGCTCTCTCCATTACTTTCATTCATGGATTGCATGACTAGCCTAAGCCAATGAGCTCTCCCCTATACTTCCATTCATCCATTGCATGACTAGCCTAAGCCAATGGGGTTGCCCCATTATTTCCATTCATGGAGTGCATGACTAGCCTAAGCCAATGGGGTTGCCCCATTATTTCCATTCATGGAGTGCATGACTAGCCTAAGCCAATGGGGTTGCCCCATTATTTCCATTCATGGAGTGCATGACTAGCCTAAGCCAATGGGGTTGCCCCATTATTTCCATTCATGGAGTGCATGACTAGCCTAAGCCAATGGGGTTGCCCCATTATTTCCATTCATGGAGTGCATGACTAGCCTAAGCCAATGGGGTTGCCCCATTATTTCCATTCATGGAGTGCATGACTAGCCTAAGCCAATGGGGTTGCCCCATTATTTCCATTCATGGAGTGCATGACTAGCCTAAGCCAATGGGGTTGCCCCATTATTTCCATTCATGGAGTGCATGACTAGCCTAAGCCAATGGGGTTGCCCCATTATTTCCATTCATGGAGTGCATGACTAGCCTAAGCCAATGGGGTTGCCCCATTATTTCCATTCATGGAGTGCATGACTAGCCTAAGCCAATGGGGTTGCCCCATTATTTCCATTCATGGAGTGCATGACTAGCCTAAGCCAATGGGGTTGCCCCATTATTTCCATTCATGGAGTGCATGACTAGCCTAAGCCAATGGGGTTGCCCCATTATTTCCATTCATGGAGTGCATGACTAGCCTAAGCCAATGGGGTTGCCCCATTATTTCCATTCATGGAGTGCATGACTAGCCTAAGCCAATGGGGTTGCCCCATTATTTCCATTCATGGAGTGCATGACTAGCCTAAGCCAATGGGGTTGCCCCATTATTTCCATTCATGGAGTGCATGACTAGCCTAAGCCAATGGGGTTGCCCCATTATTTCCATTCATGGAGTGCATGACTAGCCTAAGCCAATGGGGTTGCCCCATTATTTCCATTCATGGAGTGCATGACTAGCCTAAGCCAATGGGGTTGCCCCATTATTTCCATTCATGGAGTGCATGACTAGCCTAAGCCAATGGGGTTGCCCCATTATTTCCATTCATGGAGTGCATGACTAGCCTAAGCCAATGGGGTTGCCCCATTATTTCCATTCATGGAGTGCATGACTAGCCTAAGCCAATGGGGTTGCCCCATTATTTCCATTCATGGAGTGCATGACTAGCCTAAGCCAATGGGGTTGCCCCATTATTTCCATTCATGGAGTGCATGACTAGCCTAAGCCAATGGGGTTGCCCCATTATTTCCATTCATGGAGTGCATGACTAGCCTAAGCCAATGGGGTTGCCCCATTATTTCCATTCATGGAGTGCATGACTAGCCTAAGCCAATGGGGTCGCCCCATTACGTCCATTCATGGATTGCATGACTAGCTTAAGCCAATGGGGTCGCCCCATTACTTCCATTCATGGATTGCATGACTAGCCTAAGCCAATGGTCTCTCTCCATTACTTCCATTCATGGATTGCATGACTAGCCTAAGGCAATGGGCTCTCTCCATTACTTCCATTCATGTATTGCATGACTAGCCTATGCCAATGGGCTCTCCCCATTACTTCCATTCATGGATTGCATGAGAAGCCTAAGCCAATGGGTTTGCCCCATTACTTCCATTCATGGATTGCATGACTAGCCTAAGCCAATGGGCTCTCCCCATTACTTCCATTCATGGATTGCATGACTAGCCTAAGCCAATGGGGGTCTCCTTTTTACTTCCATTCATCAATTGCATGACTAGCATAAGCCAATGGGCTCTCCCCATCACTTCCATTCCTATGGCTGCTTGCGAACATAAGTTCTCTGATGATGAACAAGGGGCAAGTGCTGATGGAAGGCTTTTCTACGTTTATCACATTCACCTGTGTTTCTCTACTTTGCCTTCTCTGACGTCGAAGAGTAGCGGGACCACGATCGAAAGTCCTCCTCCCTTCCTTACAGTCATAGGTCTTCTCCTCGGTGTGTACAACCTGATGCTGAGTCAGCTGGGAGCCGTGGCTGAAGGCCTTCCCACAGGCCTGGCACACGTAGGGTTTCTCCCCCGTGTGGATCCTGTAATGCACGGCGAGGTGCGAGACCCGCTTGAAAGCCCTCCCACACGCCTTGCACGGGTAGGGTTTCTCTCCCGTGTGGATTCTCTGGTGTTGCTTCAGCTGTGAGCTCACCCGGAACGCCTTCCCGCAGGCCTGACATTCGTAGGGCTTCTCACCCGTGTGGATTCTCTGATGCCGGATGAGCGTGGAGCCCTGATTGAAGGCCTTCCCGCAGTCCTTACACTCATAGAGCTTCTTGCCAGTGTGTAGAGTCTGGTGTTGGATCAGCTGGGACCGGTGGCTGAAGGTCTTCCCGCATTCCTTGCAGGCGTAGGGCTTCTCCCCTGTGTGAATCCTACCGTGGACTTTCAGATGCGAGATCCGATTGAAGGCCTTCCCACACTCTTTGCACTGATAGGGCTTCTCGCCGGTATGAATGCGCTGATGTTCGATCAGCTGGGAGCTCCGGCCGAAGGCCCTGGCGCAGTCCTGACACGCGTAAGGCTTCTCGCCGGTGTGGACCCGCTGGTGCTGAATGAAGTTTGAACCCGAGTTGAAGGCCTTCCCACACTCCTTGCACTCGTAGGGTTTCTTGCCAGAATGAATGTTCTCGTGCTGAACCAGGCGCGAGCCGTACTTAAAGGCCTTCCCACACTCCTTACATTGATAGGGTTTCTCGCTGGTGTGGATTCCCTGCCGGCGAATGAGGAAGTCCTCTGGCCAGAAGGCTTCCCTACATGCATCATACCCATAGGGCTCGTCCCCTGGATGGACTTTCCCACAGAAAGTAAGGGATGCCTGTGGGCTGAGAGGGGGCATTTCTTCAGACCTGACGATCACGTGACTCAGACGTTCATCTAGATTCCCCCGCTGTCCGTCAAACTGGCTTTCGCACTCCCAGTCAACTGGGAGACTCCAGGACTTGAGACCATAACTCGGAAGGCTTTCCGGTCTCGCCCACCGGGTCGCTTGTCCTTCACAAACAGGCTGCTCTGGAGGTGACACCTTAGTCTCAGACCTGGCCTCCGAGGCTGAAAAAGAACGAAAGAGCAAGTATGCTTCTTGTTTTTTTCCCTTTGCAAAAAAGGGGACTTGTCTCGTAAAAACTGAAGATAATGCCAACAAGCTCGTGAATGTGGCTACTGAGGAACTGGACAAATCATACGGAGAAAGAGGAAATGCCATAAATGAGATGAGTGAGGTAATCAAGAAGGTTGTAAGAGTAGTGCTTGGAAATGGCCTCTATCTTTTTTTTTTACTCCTCACCTGAGGATATATTTTCATTGATTTGAGAGAGAGAGGAAGGGAGGGAAACATTGATTGGTTGCCTTCCATACGTGCCCAATCAGGGATCAAACCCAGAACCTAGGTATGTGCCCTGACTGGGGATCACACCCAAAACCCTGGTGCATCGGGACGACACTCTAACCAACTGAGCTACCCAGCCAAGGCCTAGACACAGTATTTTACAGTTAATTATTTGGACAACCAAAGAAATAATATGTAAAAATCTTATGTATCGTCTTAGCATTAAATGCTCTGGTTTTCTTATACGGAACTTGAGGGATCTCAAATAGCCAAACAATCTTGAAAAGGAAGAACAGCCGAAACCGGTTTGGCTCAGTGGATAGAGCGTCGGCCTGTGGACTGAAAGGTCCCAGGTTCGGTTCCGGTCAAAGGTATGTACCTTGGTTGCGGGCACATCCCCATTAGGGGGCGTGCAGGAGGCAGCCGATCGATGGTTCTCTCTCATCGATGTTTCTGACTCTCGAACTCTCTCCCTTCCTCTCTGTC